TATATAAAATAATACAAAATATTATCTATTTTGTGATTTTGTAATTGGAATTTAATGATTTTGAACTTGTTAAACACCTCTTATTAAGAGGATTAATTTGGTAGCTAAATTCTCTAAATAGGCCTGGTAGATAAAAAATTATTCAAGTTTAAAGATTTTATTATTATATAAATTTATAATTTTGGCCAGAATTATAAACTTTTGACCAGAATTATAACTCGATATTTTGGGAACTCTACCCACCCACCCCAAAATTATGTAATTTCTGGATGCCCCCCTTAGTTTTAGTGTTAGTTGATATCCAAATCACACATATTTTCTGATTCCAGATTAGTTTTTATACTCACAATGTATGTATATACATTGTAACAGTTAAAATTAGTATTACACTACCCAAAATCAGGCTGTGCTCGGGTATCCATTTCTATTTTTGTATTTTTTTTTATTTCTATCTTTAGTCATTATAAGAAAATTTCTGGTTGAGGCTAGTAGATTGTGTAAATATAGTAATTTAACTAAATTGAGTGAATTTAGTAAATTTAGTTAAGTAAATGAATTAAGTTTATTCAATCAAACTTTAGTTTCTAAAAAGTTCATTATAAAGGAGTCTTTAGCTTGCCTAAAATAAAGAGAGAACTCAGTTAGAGTTTTGAAAAACTTTGAAATCATTATAGTAAAAGTTGTTTTTTAATTAAATTATTTTTTTGGTCCAAATTGTTTCCAATAGACCCAAATTCTGTCCCAAAGATGGTATAGAAGTTATTGCTATTATAAAAATTCTGAAACAAGTAAAAGTAGAAGTTTTGTTAACACTGTTATTATGGTAGAAATAAGTTATACAGTATATTTGATAAAAGGAATCGATCTGGATTTCTGAGACAATAGTAAAACAACAAATGAAAGTGTTAATAAAAAAAAAAAAAAGTATATACACAAATATTAATATCAATTGGAATTATAAACATTAGATTGAACTACAATCAATTATATAATAGTTGGTAGTACTAAGTAGTTTATCAATATAGGATAGAAATATATATAAATTATTAAAGAATCAATATATAATCAATTTAAAAGTTTAACGATCATATGATCAAAGCATGAGATAATAGTTTAGACCTAATTAGCTATAAAGGAGCGAAAGTAATATGATAATAAAGATGTTCTTTTTTTATTAATAAATAAATAGTATATATTTTCCCTTGTAACCAAATAATCCTGAATCACTTAAGGTGAAAGTTAATAGTGATTACTTCTGAGTTAGGTTATTCTTTGATGAAAGTTATTGATTAACCTGTGACACTGTTGAAATTAGAAAAACACATTTGGTACAAATACTTATTGTAAGAAATTTCTTGTCCCTGTGACTTTGCTATATCATTTCTTTTGATTATTGATAGTATAAGAGAAAGTATTGAAAGTATTAGAACTCCTTTTTATACGATAAAATACCTTTATTAAAACTCTTATTATTCCCATTATGCATTGTTATCACTAATTAAATCATCAATCAATTAATTGATCAAAACAATTAATTGATTATCGAAATTTCTCATGATATCAGAAACTCATAACCTCAGTAAGTATCCTTATATCAAGCAAATTTCGGGCTGAAGATAACCTTAAGCCTAAAAATTTTGGGTTGTAGTATATCAAAAATTTCCCATATATTTAGTATATAAAAATGCCTCCTATGACTAAAATTTGTCTGAAAACTTTTTTTTAAGGTCAGAAGTTAGTTGGCATAGTAAAATTTCATGTTATTTATATTTTCTACCAAATTTCTGGGTTGTAATATCCAGAATACATTGTGATCAGGGTTGGGATTAGAGCTGGGTTAGGGTTAGTGGGAGCTATAGGTATAGTAAAATTATCAGCTAGGCACTTTTCACTTAATGAACGACTATTGTTTCATTAGTAAAATTCTTAGCAACCTTGGGGCAAAATTGATCAACTTTGGCCCTTCCAACCAGAGTTTTGAAGCTTCTGACTCAGAATTTTGGGATCTCTAGTAATGTGCCATTTATATGATACCTGAAAAATTTTAGTGTACAGTAGTATAGTATGTATAGTTCTTTTCTGGCATCTGATTGGCTGGAACAAGTGATCAGCAAAAATTTTAGCATACAGTACATACAGTACTGGGGTGTCAAATGCATATCTAATTACAAACCTAGTGCAGGACCATAGTGAAAATCATTAATCAAATTTTTTTATAATTAGCAGTGGCGTAGTGATAGCATAAATAGTAAAAATATATAAAATTTAAATTACAATAACTCTTGAACAAGCAAACCCACACAAATAAAATTATATTTATTGGGTTCATTTTAGTGTACTCTTTAAAGTAACAACACCTTTTTTTTTATTTTTATTGTTTGAAGCATAGCAGAGGACTCAATTTTCATACAAAATTGTCATTTTTGATATATTTCTTAATAAAACATCAAGACCATAATTTTAATCTATTGTCGATTACTATTGCATAATACAATACGAGAAAACATTTTTGATGTTTTTGTTAAAAAAATATCAAAAACGACAATTTTGTATGAAAACTGTGTCCTCTGATATGCTTCAAACAAAAAAAATAAATAAAAAAAGATGTTGTTACTTTAAAGAGTACACTAAAGTGAACCCGATAAATATAATTTTATTTGTGTGGGTTTGCTTGTTCAAGAGTTATTGCAATTTAAATTTTATATGTTTTTACTATTTATGCTATTACTTCGCCACTGCTAATTATAAAAAAATTTGATAAATGATTTTCATTATGCACCTGCACTATGTAATTAGATATGCATTTGACACCCCAGTACAGTACGTACATTTTCAACAGGGATCCCCAAATTTCCGGGTCGTGATGGCCGAAATGCGTCGTGGTTAGGGTCGGGTTAGGACTGAGTTAGGGTTAGCAGGAGCCATAGGCTATAGTAAAATTATCAGCTGGGCACTTTTCACTTAATGAACGACTATTGTTTCATTACTAAAATTCTTAGTGATCTTGGGGCAAAATTGATCAACTCCGGCCCTTCCGGCAAGAGTTCCGAAGTGTCCGACCCGGAATTTTGGGGATCTCACTGTAGGAGTTAGTACGTACAGTACTGTACGCGGCACATCACTAGGGATCTCCCTGTAGGAGTTCGTTATTTACAATTTCTTGCATACGTTTTTTGCATTTGTTTTGTTACACAAGATCCTGTAATTTTATTGGATCCGATCTACGAAATTTATAATCGGAGTGATCTTCAGCCCGGAATTTGCTTGACATAAGGGTACACGTCGTCGGTTAAACTGAAGATCCGATTTCCGACCACTATCTACCCGTGACGTGATCTTAGTATTAGATTCAAATTGAACATTAAATCACCGATCACCGCAGTCATCCAAATGACATAACACGTGATCCGAAAGAGCGAAACTTTCTAAATCGAAGAACTAGAAGTGTTAGTGTTATTATACCCTGGTCACTATATCAAGATCGCAGGGCATAAATCAGTTATGTCCTGGGCACTATGTGATAAGCGGGGCTGAAAGTCCCGCTTATACCCAACTGCCCAGGAAATAACTATTACGAAATCTAAATACAATCGAAACAATACTAAGTTAAAAGGATACAGAAGTCTTATCCAAGGCCCGGAAACATCACCACAAGACCCGAAAAATCTTGAAACTCGGACCAAGTCTTTCCACGCCCTCTTTCTACCTTCCGCCTCAAGATTTTCAGAGTCTTAAAGCCTAGATTGAGTTGTTTTAGTAGAATAGTTTAGTGTCTTAGTTAGTTTAGCCAAAAAAGTTTTAGTTTTCACGTTCTCAACGTACGTGCATACAACTATTACACCACATCCTCATATATGGCAAGATGAGCCGGGCAAAATTGAACATCTCTAAATAATAAGAGGTTAATAAAATTAATTAAATTACGTTCTAACTAAACTATAGTCTTTTACTAAAATGCACCTATAGTGTTTTACACCTATGTATACATTACCATAAAGCTAGCTAATTAATCAGCGTGACCCAAACACTAATTATAATTACTAACCCGGTTGCGTTTATATTAATTAAAATTAGATATCTATTTATGCTTATTTTAATGAGCCAATAAAAGTTTAGCAAAAACGGAGTTCTCTTCTCTTTCTATGAAAAACGCTCATATACTTATTCATATGATATTGAAATTTTACACGTTATTGAGCATTTAAACCGAAATAATTCCAAGACATGATGATCAAGCATGATGCTAATTGATCCTAACAACTCTAATGTCAATCTTTAGCATGCAGTATAAATTTAACCAATTCTCATTGCAATCTTTTTTTACTAATTATTTCCCAATATTTTTTTTTTTTGAATAAACAATGAATCTAATTATCCTTTCATGTTATCAAGAAATATTAATATTTTTTTGCAGCTTAACTATTATATACATTTTAGTTCTATGTAAAATTTTACAATTACTTGCAATTCGTAAGCCTAAAGCTCTTTTTACTTCTTTATATTATACTCCAAATAAACAAGCACTCATTTACGTACTTAATAAGATAGTGATAATAGGTATCATTCGTACATGGCCATTAGCTTATGGAATATGCTGCGGAATTGAATATTATATTAATTATTATATTAAATTTTATATTGGAACTTTTATCTGTAGAATTTATCTTTTTTTCACGCTTTTCACAAAAAGAATACGTGCATTTTTAATTATGCTGATTGTTCTCTTAGAAATCCGACTAGCCGATTTAATTGATTTTATCCCTTATAAATTGACATTTTCCTTAATTTATGAGGCTTTTATTATGATTTTTTATCTACGTATCATTTATTTTGGCTTAAAATATTTTGGTGGTTTAAAATATATGCAAATAATTTGTTATAGCACCGTAATATTTTTAAACCTAAAATTTATAAATTTACCAATTCTTAATGAATATTTTATATTTCCTATCCGTTCCAGAACGATAAAAGTTTTAATTATTGGGCCCGTCAGACTTTTTATGAAGACTTTTATAGAACATTTGGAAAAAAACTCTAATCCAAATGTTATTGTGAGCTCGTTATTTATATTTTTAAACCGTTATCTAGAATTGCCTGTGGTGGAGTTTGTATACTCACTAAGGAAAGATTCATATTTCTCCATAGAATTAGGAATTAAAATTTATGATGAATTAATGAAGATAAAATGGAACGAAATTACTACCGATGAACAATGCTTATATATGGTACGCAATGCCTATATGCATGCACGTAATAGACAATATCTACATTCACATTTTTGTGAGGTTCCCAATGATGTTTGTACAAAATATGAGAATGCTAAAGATGACACAGAAAAGGAAACAATTATTCAAGGTTATAATTTGGTTACCCGAAAAAAACATTTTATCATTTTACGGAGTCTCGCAGAATACGAAGATAGTGGGTTTTTGGCAGCTTTAGATGAAGAAACTATTCCAGAAAGACTTATAATATACGGAAAGTGCGCACAATGCAACAATTATAATACTTCAATAGCCTGGTGCCAAACATGTGATCCTAAATTATTAGTTCAAGGATGGACAAGCAGGAATAAATATGTCGATGAATGCATCAAAAAATTTCAATCTAAAGCCTTGTCACATAAAGATGCTATTGAATGGATTCCATTCAATAGGTTTATAAATATGCAAAAAATTGGCAAAGGAGGATATGGCACAGTGTTTTCAGCAATTTGGTTAGACGGTATAAGAAAACCCGATTTCTCTTTGACTGGACACTACAAGAAATTACGTAAGCATCAATGTATAGTTGCGCTAAAGACTTTGCCTAGCGGTACTAATATTTCGGATTGTTTAAAAGAATTTGAAAATCATATGCTGTGCAGATTAAATGGTATTGGGCTTAGGGTATATGGATTGACACGAAATACAGAAACTAATGAGTATCTTATGGTATTTCATTATGCAAACAAAGGAAATCTTCATGATTTTTTAAAACATAACTTTAAAAACTTTACGTGGAAAAATAAATTAAAACAACTTGTATATATTTCACACGATTTAGCTCAAATTCATGAAGCAGGGTATATTCATGGTGATATTCATAGTAAAAATATTTTATTGAATCAATATGGCGACGAGTTATATTCATATATCTCAGATTTAGGATTATCCAGAATGAAAGATTTTGCAGATTCAGAAAAGGAAGTATTTGGTGTCATACCTTATTTGGCTCCTGAAACTTTAAAATATCAACAAACCACACAAGCTAGTGATATTTATGCATTTGGCATTATTATGGCAGAAATGTCAACTGGGAAAAGGCCTTTTGATAGTACTCTACATGATACCGATATTGATCTAGTAATGAAGATTTGTGATGGATTGCGGCCAGATTTTGATCCAGAGACTCCCGATATTTATGTTAAATTAGCAGAAGAATGCATGAATTCAGATCCACAAAAGCGACCTGATGCTATGTATATATGTACATACCTTTATATAATACAAGAACTCGCCGACTTTGATTCAACAAATAAAGGGCCAAAAATTAATTTATCTAACGACCCACTTCCGACAGAAATTAGCACAATCATTGATACACAAGGTACTTTTATATTATTACAACTGTTTTCGGATCGATGATCTGCATTTTTTTTTTTTTTGAGCCCGTGAATCGTTGTATTTTGTGAAAAATTATTTATCAATGAAAGGGAAATACAGTCAACTCTCTCTAAGTGCACGTCCTCTAAGTGCAACTTCTCTCTAAATGCAATTAAATAGTCTGGTCCCATGTTGGGACTTATAACATAAATGCAAGTCCTTTATTCTCTAAGTGCAAGATTTTTTTTAGCCAGCATATATAAAATTATTTTCTCTAATTGCAAGTTATTTTATTAACCAATTAAATTGACTTATTTAATTAAAGTTTTTTTTTCTAAGTGTCAAGATATTTTTTTTAACTTATAAACTTGCATTTAGAGAGAATAAATTATATATTAATTTAGTTTTCTTTAAGTGTAAGTTCTCTCTAAATGCAAGATATTTTGCTGGCCCGTTGACTTGCACTTAGAGAGAGTTGACTGTATATGAATTCTAAAATGAGTCCTGCGAAATATGACGAAGTTGAAGTGATTCCCTTATTGTAATCAAGATCTCGCGGGAAAAAAAATCATGCAGATCGTCGATCCTACTAAATCGAAAACAGCTATAATGAATGCTATTTAATACAGCATTAAGTTTAAATATATTAATGATATATTAATTTTATCAGATTCATTTGACAGTGGGATTTCAAGTTTAGCTTTTCAATTATTAAATAATATTCAACTAGATAGCTGTGCGACGTCATCGCGCGAAACCAGGAACGGAATACCTAGACAGAGATAAAAATCTAAAATATAAGCCCTATAGTTGCCATTGAAATAGTTATTACTATCGGCCTAAATTAAAACTATGTTGATATAAATTTTGACTAAATCCTAATTTATGTTCAAAACTCGTTACAAATTCCAAATCTCGCTCAAATTTCAAAATCGTTTCAAACTCCAAATCTCGTTCAAATTTCAAAATCGGTTTAAATTACAAACCCATTACAAATCCTAAATTTGTTCCAAATTTTAAACTAGTTTTCTAATTTCGAATTTATGTTAAACTCTATAGATAAATCTTTGCAACTTGCTTTAAGCATCTTAGCATTGTAATTTTATTGTAGCATTATCTAGTATTTTTATATTGCAATAGCTGTTCTATAATCAATTATTTCTCAAATCTTCTAAATCTATAATATTTCTGAACCATATTATACAAGGATTCTTAAATTCATACGTGCATGATTTCTTTGGGTTGTTTATTAGTAAATTCTAAAGTTGTTCAATATATTGTACATAGTAACTATACATATAACAGGAACGGGGTTTCACAGAAGTGAAACGAAGGCATGTACTTTCCAAACTCTCGTATTTGGTTGGTCGGCATGATCATAGATCTTTCCATTTCTGCTTTTACGGGTATTTTCGGGATTTCCTTGTGAACTGCACATTTATATTCTGGAGTTTCTTTAGATAGTAAAATGCATTATATAAGAGTTGCAAATATAGCTTTCATTGATTCCAATAATAAGATAAGCTCAATTGTTACTTGTTATATTATTTAGCATAAATCATAAAATGTATAGTGTCAAATTCTGTTATTTGTAAAATCATATCATTGAGATACTGAAATGAAATAGATTGAAAAAGCATAATGAAAGATTAAGAAAGGGTATTATATTTAATGTCTATACCATTGAAGCTCTATATTTGTCTGAGTTAACTTGGTATAATTGCTACTGAACTACATATAATTTGATGTTAGCTTACTTTTATTACTTTTAGGGATTTGATTAGTTGTTACATTTCCATGCTACATTATGATTATTGGGCTTAGTATTAGTGTTATTTTGCATTGACAGATTGAAAAGACAACATAAGCAGTTATATGCTTGCCGCAGGAGCACCAATTTGGTAGGAAGCCAGTTTGCAACAACTGATCAGCAAGAAGAATTTTAGAAGCCAATTTGCAACAAGAATTATATTGAGGTGAGTATAGTTAATTGAATCACCTGTTACAGAATCTAAGACACAATTAGGTAAGCATGATTGGAATAAAAGAGGTGAAACTGAGAGTAGAAGCCCATCTGTGTTCTGAAAAAACATGTCCCAGTTTTCGTACCAATCCCACCCATCTCACATTTTCACAGTAAATATAAATCCTTTAGAACTATGGCTGCTTGCTTTATGCAGGTGGAGATTCACTAGCTGATATTAAAAATCATTGATTCTCCTACTAAAAAAATCCTGTCATGCTTTATGCAAATAGGAAATCACTAGCTGATGCTACACATCACTAATTTTAATTATATATCAGTAGCACTGATATATGCTGCTTATATTAATAAAGTATTTCTAACAAATTTTATATCTAGCCTTATTTGGCTGGTGTGATCTAATAATTACACATAACACAAGTGTTTAGCTCTTTTGTTGACAAATTTGATGGCAATCACATTGATTTAAATAAAAATTTTAATTAAGTTTTAGTTATTAAATTAAACCTTGAGTTGCTTCCTAGTATATTAAACATACCGTATTACTGTGGAATAGCGCACATGGGCGTTATTTCGAAAATCGCATTCCCTTAAAATAGTATACTTGGCTTCAAAATAACGCCTATACGCGTCCCGAAATAATCGCGCACCTTATATAGTATACTGTATAAATAATGTATATATTTCTATAACTTTAAGTATACTGAACCACAGAGAAAATTATTAGCGCTATCTCATCTCTCCTTTTGTTACAATGTTGACTATTTGTCATCAATTTTTATAGCGAATATTTGACAGATAAGCTGGATAATATGAATCAAAACTCTTCATCGCGGCAAATTTATGAAATCAGGGTACTTTGACTAACTATGAAGTGCGTTATTTACTATTTGTTTTTTGACATTTCTTATTGTAAAATCATATAGCTAAC